GCACGACCGCAGGGACCAGCTGCAGCACATCACCGAGGCGGCCACGCTGTTGGTGATGGACAAGGCCGTGTTCGCGAAGCCGCAGGCCGTGCGGCGACAGTTCGTCGAGCTCTCGGGTCCCCAGCTGCGTGCGCTCCTCTTCAACTTCCGCCCCGACGCGTATGTCCTCCCCTCCACACCTGGTGATGATCCAATTTTTTATCCGCGCGGGTGATCATCTCGTTCACACACAAACAATCAAACATCTTCCAGAATGGCACCTGAGAAGGTGGCCGAGGAGTGGAAGAAGACGGCTGCCATGATGGCCTCGCATGAGGGCGGACCTCTCCTGCTTGCTGATCCTCTTCTCGGCCCTATGCGAGGGTGAAGGACCCCCTTTGGCCAACCACGTGCTGGCCTTTTTTGATTTTTGTAATTGGTCCTTGGCATTTTACTTCCAAAATTTTAACAAAAAAAATTTGCGCCAAAAAAATTCGTGGAAACGCAACGCATGTAACCCACAACAAGCTTTTATTATTCGGCAGGACGCAAGATCGCGAGAACGAAGATGGCGAGGAAGAAGAGAGTGCTTACGGTCAATGAAAAGAGCTTCGGCATTTACATCTACAAGGTGCTGAAGCAGGTGCACCCCGACACGGGCATCTCCCAAAAGGCCATGGCCATCATGAACTCGTTCGTTCATGACATTTCGAATCGTATTCAAGCGGTACTTTTTTTTCAACCTAGTGATCTGGAGCAACTTGACCTCTCATTAGATGGCGCCATGATGGTGAATGCTTGCAGGAAGCTGCGGCCCTTGCTGAAATCGGCGCCAAGAAATCCCTCACGAGCAGAGAGATCCAGACGGCCGTGCGCCTTCACCTTCCCGGTGAACTGGCCAAGGTAGGCACCCAGCCGTCCCCTCGTGCAAGGCGCCTGTTGGGAGAGGGGGGGGGGCAATAGTGAACCCCCGCTAACACAAATCTCTCTCTCTCTCCATGAACAAGCATGCCGTGTCGGAGGGCACAAGGCCGTCACCAAGTTCAACTGTTTGAAGGCGGCAGGCAAAGCAAGTCCGCCCGTGCCGGGTACTCCACATC